CTCAACCAACTGACCTACAACCACAGTTCCTACATATCTCAGTGTAGCTACACACACATACACACATATACACACATACACACACATACATACACATACACACATATATACACACATATACACACATACACACATACATACACATACACACATATATACACACATATACACACACATACACACATATGCACAAATATACACACATATGCAGATGCATAATACACACATACACACATATAAATAAACATACATACATATACACACACATATATACACGTACATGTACATACACTCAGTTAAACTCCACATCACATCACATTTTATTGACCCATTCACTGGTGTATCTGTTGAGTGACACCCAGACTGATTCTACAATGTGGCTACGGTGACACGCACCATCGTCGTCACGAGTGAGCAGGAGTCTCCGTGGAGTGCTGACTTAAGTCCCTTTAGTGTATTCCCAGGTCACGTGGTAGTGCCTCGATCCTGATTTCCAGAGAGGCCCCACTAGTACATCCACACCCCCAGTGTGTCTGTCCCCACCCTTGCTAGCATTTGTCATTGTTTCTCTGAGAGTCATTTCAACCGGTTGGCCATGGAACCCCAGGGAAGTTTTGATTTGCATTTTTGTGGTAACAAGAGGGTGTTGAATACTTGCTCTTGACCTATGGACTGTCTGAGCATCGTCTCTTCATAAACACCTGTTCATTTCATTTGCCTCCTTACTGTAGGGCCCATTTCTTGAGTAGTTTTTTAACTCTTTCAAAGAATATTTGCGTAGCGAGTCACTGGGAACGGCTCTGTTCCCTTTGGAAAAGGGAACATTTCAGCAGCAGCAACAAGCACTTACACTACAAATTCAGTTTTTATTAGGGGTGGTTTATTTTGTTATTTAGAACTCTTTGAGACAGGGTTTCTCTGTGTAGTCCTGGCTATCCTGGAACTCACTCTGTAAACCAGAGTGGCCTCGAACTCACCTGCCTCGGCCTCCTGAGTACTGGAATTAAAGGCGTGAGTCACCATGCCCAGCTAATTTAGAACTCTTTACTGTTTACTGTGGTAAGATTAGTACTTCGAGTCTCAGAACTTGTTCTCTGCATGTCTGTGCGTTTATGTGTGCATGCATGTGTGTTGTACACTCTGTTAAATGGCCTTTCTTTGTGTGTGTATGTTGTGTTTGTTTACTTTTTCCTGGTGTAGTAATCTTGGTGAGTGGGAAGGAAAAGACAAATTTGGAAGAATAGCCTACAAGGTGGAAGGGCAATACAAATTTTAATTTTAGGCTGGAGAGATGGCTCACTGGCTGTTCTTGCAGAAGAACTGGGTCCAATTCCAAGTACCCACATAGTGGTTCACATCCAACCATTTGTAACTTTGGTTCCAGAGGATCTGATGCCCACTTCTGTCTTCAGTGGCTACCAGGCACACACAGACGTATGCATGCAAAACACACACATTACATAGATAAATCTTAAGATTAAAAATTCCTCCCAAAATGGATAGTGAGTTGTTCCTGCCGTCCCTTCGTAGTTTGGATATTATAAATTTGAGTGAATATTATGGTTAGGATGAAGTATGGAGCGTAAAAATACGGCACACACGTCAACACTACTTCTAGTGGAAGCCGAGGTTACTTCTGCTTCCTGCTTCGGCAGGTGCGGGCTCCCTTCTTCCGCCCATGCTTACCAGAGGTTCTCTCATAACTCTGGGAATTACTACGCAGCACGTCACAGCTTAAGGGTGTCTCAGCTTTTACTTGTAAACATTTCAATCACCCCACATGCAGGGAGGGACCCCTGTGTGCTGCTGTCTTCAGTGGAGGAACTGGTGCAGTGAGATCGTGCCTGGGACCCTTTCCAGGCAGATGCTGATCTAAGCACCAAGGCTCCCTCGTTTAGGGCCTGAGCTCAGCCAGTCTCTCATATCCCTGACTCCCGGTGGCCGTGTCGGCATCACACAGCTATCCCAATGTCCCAGAAGTGCCTGCAGCAAGACTTTCAGATGGTCCCATGGTTATTTTTCTTGTCTGTTTAAGGCCTGTTATCTGTAGCTAGTCCAGCTTCCTTCAGCCTTTTCACAGGTTTCCTTTCCTCTCTGGTTTGTTTCGGTGTGTGGTTTTGTCATTGCTGCTTGTATTTTGGAGACAGAATCTCTTGTAGCCTAGGCTGGCCTCGGATCCTTTATGTAACTGAGAACGATATTGAACTGACCCTCTCGCCCCCACCTCCCAAGGGCGGGGGTTATACGCGTGCGCCATCAGACCTGCCTCCTTCTGTCGTTCGTTGTTTTGAGGCAGGGTCTTGGCTCTGTAGCCTACGTCGACCTTGAATCCGTAATCTTCTTTCCTCTGTGTCCCAAGTGCTAGGGTTATGGTTGTGAGCCACTAGCCTGTTTTCTTCGTCTCTGTGTATATTTATGGTGTGTGTGTGTGTGCCTGTGTGCCTGTGTGCCTGTGTATGCAGCCCAGAGGTTTGTATCATGTCTTTTCCTCAGGCGCTCCCCACGTTATCATTTATTTATTTTTATCATTTATTTATTTAAAGGACCTCTTAATACCTGGGAGTCTGCCAGTTGTCTAGGCGGGCTGGTTTTCCACGGACTAGGACTATGGGTATATGCCTCTGTGCCCGGCTTTTGTGTGGGTGTTAGGGAATCCACACTGAGGTCCTCACACTGACTTGGCAAGCCCTTTACCAGCTGAGCCACCTCCCCACCCCCCACCCCCACCTGGCATTGCTTGCTCTCTATGGCTCATAGGTGTCCGTGTCTGGAATCTGTCACTGTCTGGGATAATCCAAGGTGACCATCTTCTGGAGGGGAAAAGTTGATTTAAAGTATGGTTTCAGGTTGTCTCTGTTGGTGTTTTTGCTTTGTGCTGGTGATGAGGCCGCATACCCTGCGGGAAGTGCACAGAGGAGTGAAATCAGGCGTGTCACGGTTGGAAGGCAGAGCAGTAAAGTCAGGCGCATCACAGCTGGAAGGCAAGAGGGGACAAGAAGGGCTCAGGGTCCCGTGCTCCCCTTCCAGGGCAGGATGCATCCCCACCAGGCCCTGGGAACCCTGGGACCAAGTCTTTATTTAGTGCGTGAGTCTGGGGGCGGGGGGCGGTTCTAGATCTAAACCATGACTATATTTATATTTATATAAAAAGAGCTGGTTAAAAGGAGTCATCTGATCTGCTGACGAAGGGCTTACTACGGTCCATAGACGTGGTGGCAGGAATTAGGTACAGTAGTCCCTGCAGCCTGTGGGTAAGACTTGCAGTCACCTCATCTTAAGGACAAAGCTCTAGAGGTTCGGGGCTTCCTTTGTATCTAGAATCACGCACACACACACACAGACACAGACACACATGCTCACACACACACACGCACACACACACACAGAGACACGCACTTACAACAGGAGAGGGAGAGAGGAACACCTGGAAGTAGACGAGCCACAGAGCTCTTCTGTGAGGTGACCTGTGGACCTCGACTGCGTCATGGCTCGTGGTGGAAACACAGGTGGGCTCACAGAAGCCAGAATACAAACAACGGGGTTAGAACGGACGCAGTCGGCTTTGTGTGACAGAGACTCCCATCGGCTGAACACCGAGGATCGCGTTTTGTTGCTTGAGAAGGTAGAGGCCTAAGCCTGCCCTTTGGAGCTCCGCGGAGGATGCACCCATTTCACCCATGTGAGACACGTACCCCAGCTGGCCTGTGGCACTCTGTCTTCCACCGGCCAGGGCATACCTGGTGTGCTAGGGAAGCGGGACCAAGGCTTCCCTGGGGACTTGGTAGGGATGGCTCTGGTGAGTGGAGGGACAGCCAGCTGTGGTGAGGACAGAAAGAATGCCTTTGGAAATTAAACTTGGTAATGAAAACATTCTTCCGAGGGCAGAGCCCCAGGTGCACTGTAAACCAGCCGAGGCCATAATCGAAACACAAAGGCGTCTTCAGAAGCAGCGATCTGGTTCTTTTTCCTGCACTAATCCTGAAATCCTAGCACACGTTCACATAAAGACAGGATTGGGTGCATGAAGGTGCCTGTTTCCATCAGTCAGCGAGCTGTTCGTAGCCAAGCTGGTTGAGGCTTCAAGTTTTAGGGTGATGATCACACTTTCATGTAGCAAATGCCACCCTAATCTGCCAAGAGCCCCCGGTGGCTTTGGGGTCAGCTGAGGAGAGGAGAGCTTTTCGGTCTCAAAGTAGGGGGAGAAATTTTATCATAATTCATGTATAATAGAACGGTACAGGGCACTGCTTTCAAAATACTCACTGAAGTGCCAACAGAGCACGTGGTTTTGGGGTTGAAATCTGACGGACTGTGAAATGTTCTGCATTGCCAGAGCTCCTAGCTGGCAGGGTTTGTCTTCCGAGTTGAGTAAGAAACTACTCTATGATCGATGGAGGAATTATCCTGGCCTTGGCCAGCATGCCATGTGTAAAATCACACAGGGACTCATCCTTCTGGGCTCAGCAAAAAAGTCGGTCCTGGCGCTGGGGAGACAACTCGAGGACCTGAGTTCAACCCCCAGCACCCATCTCAAAAAGCCAGGTTTGGTGAGCATACTTGTAATCCCAGCCCTGGGAAAGTGGAGACAGGAGGCTATTCGGGATTCACCAGCCTGCCAGTCTGTGTCATCAGTGAATCCCAGGTACCAGAGAGAGATCTTTCCTACAAAGCCAAGGCGGCTGGCTCCTGAGGTAGGGCATCCACGGCTGACCTCTGGGCTCTGTGCCCAGGTGCTGATATACTCCTGTACATATACATGTTCAAAGTCAGCCAGCCCTGTCCTCAGGCTCCCCCATCCCTCACCTGGCACAAGTTTATGTGGACCCCATATGCAGTTAGGAGAGCTTCACCTGGATGCTCCACTTAGGTGACTGTATCGGGTGGGGAAGAACCTTGGATCCTTGTAGGTGGGCCCCACATCTCAGAGTTCCAGTGTTGCAGGGGTGGGAGGCCTGTATGATCTTGGACGCACAACTGATGCGATTTTACCCTTTATCTAGACACACTACTTCGGCCTTTGGTTTCTCAGCAAGAGCCAGCAAGCGAGATGGGTGGAGCTAGAGAAGCCGCTGAAGAAACATCTGGACAAATTTGCTAACGAGCCTCTGCTTTTCTTCGGAGTCATGTTCTATGTGCCAAATGTGTCATGGCTTCAGCAGGAGGCCACAAGGTAGGTGTGATCTCCCTCAAGTTCCCCATAAGGGTGTGGATCACCGAAAGGCTTCCGGTGAAGTGGAGGCATGCTGGCTTCTTTAGTTGCGTGTGGAGGCCGAGAGGGTGGGGGCCTGGAGGTTGCCTGCCAGTTACCATGCACCTGCAGAAGTTTGGTTTGACCCATGTGGCTAGTGCCAGCCCTGGTACAACAGGTAGAATTTTGTGTATAACAGCAAAGAAGTATCTGTTGGGAATGGTAAGTCAAATAGGTAGGCTAGAATTTAATAAAAGCCAACCATCTAATTCTGTTTCGTCCACCCCATCCACCTCCCCAAACACCACTGGGCTTTGCACTTGAGGCCTAAGATGGTTCTAAAGATGGAAATCAGGTTGAGGAGAAAAATGTCGCGAGGGCAAGGTTTTGGTTATGTGATGTTACATAAACAGGGGTAGGAAGTCAACAGCATAGCGGAGCCTCGGGGTGGCCATGCTATCTTATGTCCTTGTAGGAACTGCAAATGTTAAAGTTCAGGCGGCTTGTGATTCACAGAGCAAGACAAGAACATGTTGTTGGTGCTAGGATGGCGTACATGGTAGCTGTCTGTGTGCACGATGTACACAGAGATGTCTGTGCCTTGGAATCGCTCATCAGGTGACATTTCTGGAGGGAGCCAGAAGCCCAGAAATGCTCTCTGTTTTTGTATTTAAAACCTGTTGCTCCAATTTGGATGTTTGGAATCCTGGAGAAGCTAAAACCAGTGACAAGCTTGGAGGATGGCAGAGTGCCCCAGTGTTTCTCACTGTGTGGGTTTCAGGACTGTAAATTTCTCAAATGACAACACGGTTCAGATTTCTATGTTTCCTGCTCCTCCTCCTTCTCTTCTTCCTCCTGCTCCTCCTCCTCTTCAAGAAAAGCTGTTGCTGGTAGCGGTGGCTGTGGCTTGGTGAGTAAAGCACCTGCCGTCCAGACACGGAGATCTCAGTCGGAACCCCAGATCCTGTGTAAAACGTGGGTGTGGCAGCATGGACCTCTAACTCCAGGGTGGGAGAAGGGTCGGGCAGGGGTGTCTTTTGGAGGTTAATTTGAGATTGACCCATGTCACCCACTGGAACAAGTCTCTTCATGATGGAGGATGCCTGACAAGAGACTGGTGACATTAGAGAAAAAAATGGACGAGTCAGGCCTAAGGTTAAGGGGACAACTGAGTAAAAACATAAAAGATATCAAAGAAGGGAGGGCTGTGGGATGGCTCTGGTCCCACAGAAGCACGAGGACCAGCGTTTAGTTGGCAGCAGTGGTTCCTAGTGTTGGAAGACAAGAGAGGCCCTGGGGATTTGCTGGTCAGCCAGCCTAGCTGGGTTTGTGAGGTTCAGGGCCTGTGAGAGATCCTGTCTGAGACATAAGGCGGAGAGTGACTGAGCAGAGATACCCAGTGTCAACCTCTGACCTATACACACACACACACACACACACACACACAGACAGACACAGTATATCAAAAGGAGAATATATGGAGCTACAAAATCAAAGGAGAGAAGAAGAAACGACCTGATGCGATTCTAGACACAAGCTGGCAGCAGCTAGGCCCCTACTAGACAGATGGGAGATGAGTCATGAAACCATAGGAGCTAAAGAGATTAAGGAGCATGGAGCTCTAAACCATATTCCCAGCTGGAAGATGTGTTCTGTGAGCCTTGAGAACGTTCGCTCCTCCTTGGGTAGATGTGACTCCTGCCTGGACCACCACGGTTCTTTGCTTCTCTCCCATCTCTGCCAGGTTCCCCCCAGCAGGGGCTCCTGCCCGCCAGACATCTTCCCCTTTTTATATCCTCCTAAATCAAAGGGAAACTATTTTTTGCAGCATGCTTTCATAGCAACGGAGTCACTGTAAACACATGGTTTTCATACTTTGCTGGGCCCGGAAGGTGAGAAGATGGTTTCTATGTGAGTGGAGAAGCCCTTTAATGGGCTACTTAATGATTGCAAGGGACGGCTGCAGAGCTGCTGGCCACTCACACCCTGCGGCAAGCTTGAAATTGATGTTCAGGCCTTTCCCAAATCTTCAAGTTGTGAAGGCCCTCTTCAGGGTTTCAGACCTAAGAATACTTTTAAAGGAGAAGACTAGTGGGTTAGGGGGGCTCAGTTGGTAGAGTTCCTCCACACAAGTGTGAGGACCTGAGTTCAATTCCCAGCATCCATGTAAAATGCAGGACAAGGTATGTGCTACATTCATCCCCAGGGTTAGGGACGGGGAGGCAGGTAGGTCCAGCCAGCCTAGCTGAAATGGCATCACCAGGTCCCAGAGAGGACCCCCTTTCAAAAGACAAAGATTAGTTCTGAGGAACCACACCCAAGATACACAGACAGACAGACAAACAGGCACACTCAGGAACACTAAACAGAGGATAAATAATTTTCGAAGAGTGAATCTAATACTCATGGTGCATGTCTGACTTCTTAAGTGCATAATTAATTGTCAGGTTTTCCTTTTCACTGCTCATCAATGAGCAATGTAAGACACATGCATCCCAGTGGTCAACACGCTACAGAATTTGCATAGTGTAACTACAATTGTAGCTAGGCCACCAAAGACAGTCTTAGGACCTTGTGGTAGTGGTGAGGAGACTTGGGGCCGTGGGATCTGTTCTAGGTCCCCCCATCTTTCCGTGCTGCTGCTGTGCCCCAGAGTACCTTCTCCTTAAAATCACATCCCCACTGCCCACCTCTTCTAAGTTCTAACTGGGAGGCTGTGCCCTTGTCTACAGCTAACACTGCCCAGCAACTAGGAACATGACTTTTGACATGCTTACTTTCTACATGGGCTTCCTTCAGCATTGGAAGTCCTTCCTGTTTGGGAACAAGAAATTATCTCTCAACCAACTAGGGATGAGTGCCCACATTTAGGGTCTGTGGTCTTTCTGTATGTGTGACAAAGAAATCAGGTTGTTATATTTCTAGACTATGCTGTGGCCTTTTCCTTCCAGTGTTACCTTCAGATCTATGGCATATTGAGGGGAAAGCCATGCCAGTTCAAGTCCTGTGCCTTCACATGAGACAAGATAGTGCCTTTGGTTATATCTATGAGTGTCCATGAGTGCTCAGTGTATCAGGTCTGTACCATTTTCTGAGATAGTCAAGATAGCATGGGGTGTCATTTCTTAGTTCCATCTACCTTTTATTTCCTCGTGTATATGTTTATGTATGTATATATGTGTGGGGAGTGTGCATGTGTGGGGTGCACATGCATATGCACATGTATGTGTGTGTACATGCCTATGAAAGCTCAGAGTTGATGTAATTCATTTGTCTCTGTTGCTCCCTACTTTATCCATTGAAACCGGGTTCTCTCAGCTGAACCCTGAGGTCAATGATATGGCTAGTCGGCCTAGCTAGCTTGCTGCACTCTATGATATGTCTAGTCCATCTAGCCGGCTTGTTGCACTTTATGATATGTCTAGTCGGCCTAGCTAGCTTGCTGCACTCTATGATATGTCTAGTTGGCCTAGCTAGCTTGCTGCACTCTATGATATGACTAGTCGGCCTAGCTAGCTTGTTCCACTCTATGATATGCCTAGCCGGCCTAGCTAGCATGCTGCACTCTATGATATGTCTAGTCCATCTATCTGGCTTGCTGCACTCTATGATATGACTAGTTGGCCTAGCTAGCTTGCTGCACTCTATGATATGTCTAGTCCATCTATCCGGCTTGCTGCTCTCTATGATGTGTCTAGTCGGCCTAGCTAGCTTGCTGCTGTCTATGATATGGCTAGCTGGCCTAACTAGCTTGCTCCATGGATCCCAGCTCCACCTTCTAAGCTCTGGAATTATAGGTGGGCTGCCCCATACATACACTTGGCATTTGTTTGGTTGTGGGGATCAAACTTTGATCCTCACCTATGGCAAGCACATTTACTACTGAGCACTCTCCCTAGCCTCCAATGGTCTTTTAATTTTGAAACAGGGTTTTAGTGACCTAGAATTTAACAATTAGGCCAGGCTGACCCCCAGTGAGCCCCAGGAGAAAGCCTCTTTGGTAGCATGTGCTCTTGTGCCTGGATTTTTTTCTGTGGACTCTGGGGATGAACATAGACCTCTTGCTTTTACTGGCTTCTTTCTTCCTTGGCTGGAAACACTTGTGCCATCCCTTAGATTTTGGAGTCTTGCGTGTGCACTGTGCGAGTCTACAGCCTGGGTGTTCAGAATGTCCCTTCTAGAAGCTTCATTAGGGCAATGATTCCATGTTCCTTTACACTTTGTTTTTGTTCCCCAGTTATTTTGCTTTTTTGTACATTGTCACCTGATGAAGACTTTTAAAAAGACTGATGTTTAATTATGTGTATGGGTGCAGATATGTGCCCACGAATACAGGTGCCCACAGAGGCCACAAGAGGTGTCTCACCTCCTGGAGCTGGAGTTCACAGGTGGATGTGAGCCCCTGGCATGGGTGCTGGGAACAGAACTCAGGTACTTGGAAGAAAGCAAGTGCTGCTAATTGCTGAGCCATCTCTCCAGTCCTGGTGGGGTTTTAAAGTTTGTCATTGGCTTGAAAGTAGACTCCCTCTAGGAGGACCTGCGTTCTCCTTGGCATGCCCCCTTCCCTCCCCCGCTGTGGATGAGTCCCCTTCCCTCCCCCGCTGTGGATGGGTGCGCCTCTCTTAGTTCCTGAGAACAGCATTATTTCTGCCAGACACTTTCAAGAAGTAGCTGACAATAGAGCCCAGTCTCTCACTCTGTGCAGTCTGTGTTGAGACAAGGGAAGATGGCTTTCTTTAAAAAGTAGTGACCTGGGGGTGGGGTTGCTTGCCAAGGGAGATGGACTCTTGATTAGATGGTGGTTGCTGATTGCATCCTGTTTGTTTGTTTGTTTGTTTGTTTGTTTTGGTACCAGGGTTTGAACGCAGGGTCTTATACACACTGAGCAGGCGCATACCACAGAACCGCATCCCCTGCCCACATTCCTTTTCAAGTTTGCTTTCATTCAGTACCCGTTCCATGTTAATCTTCCTGCTAGGCAG